AAACGCGGGAAATATTTTAATAACATTACGATAGTGTAGTGCCGTAGATCAAGTCGTGTATAAAAAATCGATCAAAAATTATGAAAAAAAACCGCACGAGTCGTTTGCGAGAAATTGAACTTTTCGAACGCGGCGCTATTGAAATAGGGTTGTTTCCGTTTAAGAAAACGCGAGTGTTATCTGCGCGCCGTTCAAAATGTGTTATTTATTCGGTACCCGGCTGCAGAACTTTCGGAAAAACGAAAATTTCATTTCGATCTAAATCCGTCGCGGTCGCATTGCGTTGTTCACGTTACCGCATCGTTTGAGCGAAACGCATACGGTACCCCATGCTTATAAATTCTAATTGCACCAAATAGATTTTTCTCGGGAAAAAAATATTATAAAGACGATTTTTATATTATAGATTGTTTTTTTTTTGTTTTTTTTTTTCTGTAACCGCAGTAAAATAAAATTACAGACTTTTATTTTCCCTCGCGCGTACAGTACGTCCTTCTTCTGAACTCTCCGACGGATTTTTTTTCCCCGATTCCCATTTATTATTATTATACGGGGATTTTTTTTTTTGTTATTTTTTTTCTGTAACCGCAGTAAAATAAAATTACAGACTTTTATTTTCCCTCGCGCGTACACTACTTCTCCCTCCCCGACGCCCGTAATGCGCATACGCTATAATAATAAACGTCCGATGCGCATTGTATACGCGTGCGGCACGTATAGATTATATTGTGTACGCCCTTCGGGTGGTTATCAAGATCAAAGGACGGCTTTTTTTCCGCGCGTACTCGCGAAAACCGGGGTATATTTACACAGCGAATGGGGTTGTCGCGGGTATGTATGCCACTGGGTCAGTAGGCGTGTGAGGGCGATTTGATTTAGCGCGCGTCCTCCTCGCCCGTCGCGGTGCTCGTCATATCGCGATATCGCCGGCGCATTTGAATAATGCGAATTTAATACTGTTACAACAATACGGTTGCCGTTCTGAAATAACATTAAATTAACGTTACGAAATAAATTACGCGCTCCCGGCGCACTGTAGTCGCGAATTCAACACCGTTTTAAATAAATCATCGTCGGCGTGTACACGGCGCTTTTGAATAGTTTATCGGACGATGTGCTTGGAAACGGCATACTCTGTTACCATTTCTCGCTGGTCCGTCGGTCGAACTAGGCGGGTGAATACGAACCGGGTTCGTGAAATAAAACTTGTCCGAGAATGACATTGAAGACACTCGGTACAGTAGGTGCCGATGATGGGCACCTCCCGGGAAGGCTATACGAGTGTCTTTTAATACCCGCCGGCCGTCCGGGAGGGTATCTGAAACAGTCTATATTTGATTTCTTAGTACCCGAGTTCGGAGGACCGTTCTGCGGGTATTGCCCAAAATACGAAACTAACGGGACACAAGAATGATTCGCACGAAATGCGGGACAATCGATACCCGGGAAGGCTCAAATACTTCCCGACAGAAGGTCTCGTGATATATGCTGGCATAAATTGCGAAAGTATGAGTATAACAGTCTGCTCGCGGGAAAATATGTGCCGATGTACGTCAAAAATATAAGCACAATTTTTGAATTCACAAATTCTGAAATTTTACACAGAATTAGTCAAATTCTTTGAGGAAATGTTTAGAATTCACCAAAAACTCCATTTATATTTCATTAAGAAACATAGCGGTACCACGCTTTGACGCCAGCGCTGGCATATTTGTATTTTTGAATTTTCTGTGTAAAGAAATACGTACTGAATAAGACAACGAAGACGTGCGATTTCACGGAAGAAAAAATAATTATATCGTGTTTTTTTGAGTTAAACATGAATAAAATGTGTAAAACAGAACGTATTAGTAGTCACAGACTAAACTGTAAAAATTAAACGATAATAAATAAACTGAATCGGTTTGTTATGACGAAGAACAAGTATCATATTTGCAAGACGTGATTGAAGGTGAGAACAATTTGAATTTGTCGAAGTTCGATAATCCGCTTTTTTTTTTTAAATCTAAAATCCATAATTTCGGATTTTCTGTTTATTCGGGTTTCTATCACATCACTAGAAATAATATCGCTATTTTACTGTTTTATAAACAGTACTTATAATAACTATATATTTCTTCATATTTGGTAGCAAGTACGCTGTTGGTATCATGACTTGTATGATTTTGTGATCAATACAGACGTATTAATCTTAAGGAAACTATTAATCAAATATCAATGTATGATACATTCAAATTTTTATAATAATATTTTTACAAAAGTATTTTTTTTTTTTTTTATGTTTAGGAGATGAAAATAAAAATTCAATATTTCTCTAAATCTCTATGTCCCCTCAAAAACAAACTGATTGGAAAAAAAAAGAACAAAATTTAATATTAACAAAGTTAGTAAAATTCGTCGAACACGATCATAATAAAAAATATGATATGATATTGATATGATATTATTACGCCATTAGGTACACACTATATAGACGACAAAAACGGTGTGAGTAATCAAAATTAAAAATAACCTTCGTTTAATATAATATTACGCCTTTATCCAATAAGAGTAATTACTAGTGCTGCTTATTTCACGTGCACAAGTGAAATTAATAATTCGTGCTAGAGACCGTGTAATCTAGAATTCACGTGAATATAAACTTTAAAATAATTAAATAAACGTATTTTAATTGTTTGCATTTTTTAGTTCCATATTATACCTAGTTAGTGACGAATATAAAGTCATCTTTTGATTTTTGAAGTTTCGATATTATTTTTCTACAAGATACTGACTTCCTCGGTGCACCAACTAGATTTAAAATGCTACGAAAATGCTCTTTTGTCGGAGCATGATTTCTAGTTAAAAATCAAAACGGTGTGTGGTGATCACGATATTCAAGTGTCACGTGAAATACGTGAGTATGCAACATAAATATCCGAGTACCCGTGACACGAATATACGTGTGCAATGAAACACGTATTTTATTGAGATCTCTATTAATTACTATAGATTTTAGGTGTATATAATTAATACGTATGTTGTGTTAGATGTACAAAATAATAACCATTGTTTGTTATTTTTTTCGTATACTTTTTTTTTTCGCGAATCGATGACGACGATTCGACAGAGAAGAATGTTCGATCAATCAACGTTATCCTTTTTTTTTTTTTTTACGTCCTCGCCAGTTCACCGCGCAATATAATAGAAAACGAAAACTTTTCGTTTTTATCGTATATAATATCGTGTATATATATATATATATTTTAAATACAGCAGTTTTGCAGCGCGATAGAATTCGTTTACGGAAAAAAAATCAAATAATAATAATAATACATTTCAAAAAAAAAAAAAAAATAAAAATAAAAATAAAAAATTCGACGAACGAGCGACCCGAAAAACCGACGACGTCAAAATACACAACGTCCGCACCGCCGCGCAGAATAATACATAGTGCGGTTAAGAGGTCGCGTTTACAATAATAATAGAAAAACCGTCATTCGTTTCGCGAAACGGGAAGTCGCCATCAATCGTGGGCCCGTCGCCGTCGCGAAAAACTTTCGACGGGGCACTGCAGTGCCGACTCGAAAACGGTCTCCCCGAAAGGCCGTTAAAGTTTAAATCTCCGGTCCGGGGAAGGCGAGGGGCGTTGGAAGGCGGGTAGCGGCGGCGGCGGCGGCAGTGTAATATTATTACGCGCGCGGCAGTCGAGCGGCGGCGGTACGAAATCAGTTAAGTAGCTCGATTTAATTTGTATCTCGGACCGAACGGGCGTGTGCGACGGCGGCGGCAGTGTTGTAGTTGGCCGTTTATACACTGCACACTCTGCCGTACACAAAGAGAGATAGAGTGAGAGAGAGAGAGAACGAGGAGAAGAGCCGGTTCTGCAGCGCGTTCGGTATATAATTCGACGACGCGATAACCCATAAATCCGGCACTAAGTGTTAAAAACGACCCGGGAACACAGGCGCCCCTTGTCTTGTTATTGTCGATCTCTGATTTACGTGTGTCGTTTTCCGACCGCCCCGGATTTGTACCGTCGTCGTCGCTATTTCCGGCCGGTCACTAAATACGCGCGGCGACCGTGCGACGTTCGATACCCGCCGTTATATTGTCGTTTTATCGTCTCTCTTTATTTTTTTTTTTTTTTTTTTTTTTTATTTTTTTTTTTTATACCCGAATAGACGCCTCGGCATTTCAACCCCGCCGCGCGATATTTACCGCGCTCCGCAATACCATTACGCGGCGAGCGGACGGACAAGTGAATACGACGGGCACGAGTGTCTGCCGTCCGCCACCGCCGACGCGGGCAAAGGCGACGGCGACAGAGTTCGACTTGCACGGGGACGCGATTCGTTATCGTCGCCGCGCGCATCGCGCCATCATAATACACGATACTGTTGTTGTTTGTTATTATTATTATTATTATTATTATTAATACGTCGAGGGACGCGCGCGAGGAAACACGCGGCATTGATTATTTTTTGTGTTTTTCTCGTCGACCCGCAGTTGTCCGCGCGTATAATTCGAACGCGACGTTAACGGATGACCGCAGCGGCCACCGACGCGGCCGCCGCGGCCTATACCTACCCGCCCGTTTGCACGCGTACACAACATCGCGTTATTATAATCACGTTTTCCCGGCGTTATTGCGGTACGCGTGATATAGCTATGCGTCATAATATCATAAACCCCGAGGCTCCCGAGGATCATTTTTACCGCCGCCGCGAAATCATTACGATAATGCGACTTCTTCGTATGTGCGTTGTGGGTACCATATTAGTTGGCGCACCGCTAATGACACTACTACCTACCCTACGGTCGAGTCGTGCGCCGACCATTCAAACGTCGATTTCTAACCTAACAATATAAATTGTTCTGAACGGTAAAAACTCGTCGGAAGGCGGAAGTTATCGCGATATTTAAAATTATGTGCGCGAAGGGAGAAAACGAGAGATCGTCGGGAAAATCCGTCTTTTTGAAAACAATACGGATAACAATACGTGTGAAAATCGAATTTTCCTCGCAATCGAAACGAACGAAAATTCGTCGTATAAAACTATTGTTTTTTGGTTTTTTTTTTTTTTTTTTACGGACAATAGTTCGATTTGTATTGATACGATCTGTGCCGGCGCTATACATATTGGCACCCTGGGCAGAACCATACCTTTGCGCTCTCCCTCCCAATCAAGTACAATTATTATCGTTTAAGCTCCCCTTTACAGCAGGCACTCTGGTCACCCACCCTAACGCAGGTCTCGGATACGATTCATATAAAATGCGCTTAAAACCTAATGAAAAAACCAACGTAACGGCTCGTTTTAATCGCGATTAGCGAAGAAACAACGTACAAAGACCTGATTGACATGACTAACAAAGAAGGACATTAGATATTATACGATTTTAGAAAGCAAGTAAAGAGCGTCGATACACGTCGAAAAATAAAAACTTTTATGTTTGAAATTATTAAGTAACCTTAATAATTTAAGCTAAGTGAGCTAAGTTAGCTAAGTGCCTCCTTCGGCCAGTTGAGTCGAGACCACATATAGTCGATTTAAAACAGGCGTCTAATCACCCCGGGGGAAATTCAATTTTTAGATTTTAAATGTAGCGAAGAAGTTTTACTTAAAATATCTCTCAGAAAATACTTTTTCGATTGGTACAAAAATGCTCGAATTGTTTTATGCCGAATATTAAAAGATGCGGATTTTTCTACATAATTATACAAACGCGGAAATAAAATAAAATAATAATAAGTACAGTTATTATTTAGGGATTACGAATACTGTACATTGTATCTAATAACTTTTTTCTTTAACCTATCTAAACATTTCTTTATTATTTATAATAAATGTTGTAACGCCTCGTTCAGGGTCTTGTGTCGGAACAAACGTTATGTGACGACAGTATTTAAAAATAAAGGTCGCCAACTTACGGCCGAGACACAATGGTGGGAGCACATAGGGTTTTTCGAATGTATTGTCATAATGAACATTCAGGATGGTCTCGATATGTGAAATATACAGAATGGGTTCTGAACAATACCATTCACGAATCCACTAGCTTCACACCGCCAGGAACTGTTCCTGATTGAAAAGAGATATTCCCCGTTATATGCATTAGTCAAAAGTCCCCCTGATCTACTCAAAGATCCCAACATTAAGTTAACAATTGCCCGTGAAACACAATATATTCGATCAGTAGAAAAGCCTCGACGACATGACGCAAAAGTTCTGTCAACTCGTTCGCACACATGACCAATCATCACAGATTGACAAAATAATTAATATAATAAAATAATAAAAAAATGGGTTGACGAAGGTCAATTCATTTTATCAAGCAATTAATTTTGTACAAAATATGCATATTTTGTGTTCGACCCAGGAACAAGACAAGTCAGAGGCACGTATAATGTCATTTTCCTAAGAAAATATCATAGGAAAACTTAGGTAGTAGGTCAGGTTCGGATTTTATATTATTCTTATTATTTTATTTTTATTTGTTTCTCCTTGCTTCTCCTATTGATCTTACCCCTTACAAGTGTTTCCACATTTATAATCAGAGATATGTCTATGGTGTGATGAGGTGGTGGTGAATAGGTGTTTCGTTGTCAAGTTCGTTTTGTTCTTACACTCTATACAGAAGTTTTTCGTTGTTCAAAGTTCGACTCCTATGGGGGGTTCTGTAACATCTAAAACCGAACATTTCAATATTATTTAAATTTTAATTGATGACATAATGTTTGTAGTCATATCGCAATGGTTATTTTTGCATGTCTTCCCCCCAGTCGTCCTGTGCGAGAATACTCGATAAGCTGTCAATCAACAAGGACTCATCTCCACTACACTTTCTCTCTCTCTCTCCATTACGATCCCATCCTAGACTGTCCATGCAATTAACTTTTGTTGTAAAACTGAACACACTGCAGTAGGTAATCGGCCACTAACAATCCACTCAGTAAGCGCACAATCTTCTCGACGCCGTTCTCCGACATCGACTGGGACGACCAAATCGTTTTTTTTTTCTTCGCTGCTAAACACGAACTCCACAATGGCTAAGAAAAAAATGTCCACGTATGCTGCCCCGTCGGGCGGCGTTGTCGTCGACCATCATGGAGATCTGGTAATATGCGAGTTTTTCCTGTATACCTTGGCCGGTAACCCGTAGTGTAGTCAGCTTAGATAGTTAACTGGTAGGATTAGTATTACGATTTAATGTAAATAGCTAGATAAAAAAAACATAGTGGACTTAAGTTTAACTTTAAGTTCACTATGTTTGTATATAAACAAGTTTTCAATACCCATATATATGTATATAAACACTCATTTATGGAATTGAAACCACTCCAAGTAATTCAATCATATTTTTTTTTTTTTTTTTTATCATTATACCTATATAATATGATGCGATTGTTTGTTGTCGAATCAGGGATCTTTGTTCATCAATACCCCGACTTTTTCCCCTTTACCACCATCCATATAGGAAAAATCCTATGTGCTCCGACCGTTGTGTGTCGGCCGTAGGTTGGCAGCCTTTATTCTTAAGCACTGTCCGTCGCACACCGGTTGTTCCGGACACAAGGCCCGGAACGAGACGTTACGATGTATTACCACGTCGTATAAATATTCTTATTTCTTGTATACAACAATAAAACCGTTCTGGACGTGAAAAGCGATTTTGAATATACAAGTACACCGTCGAATCGGTATTAGCTATATATATATAAACATTTATACCTATACTTACGCGATCTCACGCCCCGTCGAGTCCGTCCGACTTATAATCCGTCAACACCATCAGTCCCCCCCCCCCCCCCCCCCTTCCTCGTCCGATGCAGCGGTCCTTCACCGCCGCCGCCGTCGCCGCTTCTTAATTCCGTTTCTCCCGCCCTTAATTAAAGTACGACCGTGTCGAAGAGCCCCGTTCCCGTTAATCCCCTCGTTTTCTCCTTATTCGCCGGGTCCTTTTGTCACATATATTTTCTTTGGTATTATTATATTCCCCGCGCGGACGGACGGGTGAATCGGTCGGTGACGTCGCCGTCGTACTTTGCATTTTATATTAAAACCGCGCCGCGGCGTTATCGAAAAACCGTCGCGGATTCGGCGTTGAACGCGTACCTGCGCAGCGGTCGTGATATTATTTCGCCGCTTCATTTATGGACGAAAAAATATGTATAATCCGAATGTAAAACGGATCGGAAAGTGCGCGTCTTTACAATCTTAATCAATTTCCATTAACGCCGCTGCATGTATACACGTACAACATTGTCATGTACTACGCGTGTGTCGCGGGGCGGAGAGGGATACGCCGTGACGACGAAGATTGCGGCGGGACGGGGATGGACGGAGTGGGCGATGACGGTGGTAGGGGGGCGCCCCGTAAAACGTCCTTTATCGTTTCGCCGCGCGTTCGGCCGACGACTGTACGGCACTCCTGCAGCCGCATCAGTACCGCGTCGCCGCCGCCGCCGTCGTCGTCGTCATCATCATATTATTATTACTATTATCGTCTCCTTCCCACCCCNCCTTCCCCCCCCCCCCCCCCCCCTCCCCGGTCTTCGATACCTCCCGCCTCGCCAAAACACACACCACCACCACCCCTCCCATCCCCCCATCTTCCCGTCCCTCGGCGGCTTCCTCCGGCCGGGATATCACACACCGGCGTTGTAATTATCGTGATTATATTCGGGGCCCGTGCCGGGCTGCTGCGGCGCTCGCGGAGAGTTTTTGTCCCTGCACCGTGTGCCGTGTGTGTACGTACCGCGCGGTACATCCGTCGCCGTTTTCCGGCCGAAACTTTCTTGTACCGCAGTCGTTGTCCCATTGTGTCCCCGCGTACACGCGTACGCACGTATATTGTACACGTGTTTGTGTGCGTTTTATATGACTCGCGCGTAAGGCTCTCGGCGAGGTGGTTCCCGAAGAAAACCGCGCGGCGGCGGCGGCGGGCGCGAGGGAATCGATTGCCAATGCGTTTTGCTTTCCCCCCGCATCCGTTCTACGCCCCGTACGCGCGCCCTACTGCACTAATATATATACGTGTATAACTGATATGCGGTAACGCGTCATTCGCATTAATGGAAAAACAACGAGACGCGAAAACACGAACGCCGGATTGACGGATTTTATCGTAAAACCCGAACGATAACACACGCGCGCACGCACACACACGCACACACACACACACACACACACAAACACACACATGCGCGCGCGCGAGTAATAATATTACACGTAAACTTAGACTGGGGGTTTTTTTTATTATTATTATTATTGTTATTATTTTTTTTTTTTTTTTGTGCGAAAATAAAATAATTTACCGTGAGTGCAGTGTGATCGACGTCGCGAACAACCGAACTTTAACGAAACACGCGTTTTATAATATTATGACGATCACTGTTGTGTTTTTTTTTATCAGACATATTTATTTTAGATTCTGAACAGAATGAAGAACGTATGTTGGTTTTACAATGACGTGTTTTTTTTTTCTTTCTCTTATACTGCGTACAAAATTTCCTCTGGAAATTTTGCGCTAATCAAATCATAATAGATACCTTTTTTTTTTTTCTGAACATTAGCTTTAGTTGATATTTTAAAAAAGGTCATTTTTTTAATATTCTTATTAATATTCGAGGTAATGGAGAAAAACTGTTTCGTTATTGTGTTAAAAAAGATAACAATAAAAAAAAGCTTGTCATTGGTAATCGTTTTATTTCTGGAATGCTTCCACTCAGAATCATTTTTCGTTATCAATGTGTAATCGCGGCAATATTAATTCAATTCCCCTCTGCATTCTACTTTCTCAACTTCTGATCTACGGAATTGCAGCAGTGGTCCACACATGGTACGAAGTATGTCCGTTAATTTTTTTTACAATACGTACGACGTATACAGGTATATGAAAACGTAATTAAAAATAGCCGATATCTGGACGGGCGTGTCATTGTTGTAGGTGGAAAGTTGGTCAAGTAAGATGCGTAAAGTAATTTAATTTATAACTGTACACGGCGATAAACGATTCCGAGCGAAGTTCGGTTATACGTATTTTGAAATGCCGTCATTTTTACGATTTTCGTCAAAATATAATCTTAAAAAAAAATAATTATACAGCTTCTGATTAAACGATTTTACTCATCGCATAATACCTGCTACATAAAATTTTAAAAAAAACCTCGGAAGTCATATTTATTTTCAAAAATATTCATAAATTAAACATAACAGTACAATACGAAATGAAGAATCAGCTTGTGCAGGAAATACTGAGTCCTTCAATTGCCCAAAAGTAGCTCAAAAAC